GTCCTAAAATCGTAAGGTCGCTAATACCACCTGCTATACGCAGGCTATATATTGTAATATAAATACAAACATAAATAATAATATTTAATCAACATAAATACAAGTTTCGATATGATATATAGATATACATGCATAAAAATCACAAGAATACATTAAAGAAGACACCCCAAGTACACGGGCCTAAAGTTGTTCCTTATTTTTAAGAATACATCAAATAAGAAACAAACTAATAGTGATAGCCTATACTTTAAATGAGCAGAGACATGCAGAGTTTCAAAAATTGGACACATCATCGTAACTTGATTTTGCAACTAGAGTTGTAATTGTTTTGCTATATGCATAGCTATTACATGCTAAAAAATATGTTGATGATAAAAATGACTAGAGAATGAAAAATTTATTTTACGAAAATTATTTATAAAATTGACTCTATGAACTTCTAAGCAGTGGTTATAGCTAATTTGTACTGCTGCATGCAGGAGTAAAAAATGTCGTTCGTCTCCAATGTAGATTACAATTAGTTTTACATGCTCTAAATATATGGGAGTAATAACTAGAATATTTACAAGTTCAGAACTAGAAAACCTACTTGAAGTTCACTCACACTTACACGATCAATGAATGGAGGTTCCTCTGATCTTCTCTTGAGTGTCAGTGCTGTTTTTGAATAGCTGGAGGGTGGGTAGTCACATAGTAAGGTGCGACACTAACGCCCGTATTCTAAAAGCGCACTCACACTCGCACTCAATGAGTGGAGGTTCAATCTGAGCTTGTCTTGAGTGTCGGTGCTGTTTTTTGAATAGCTGGAGGGTTAGTGTCGTACGGTACCTTACTATGTGACTACTCACCCTCCAGCTATTCAAAAACAGCATTGACACTCAAGAGAAGTTCAGATTGAACCTCAACTCATTGAGTGTGAGTGAGCTTTTAGAATACGGGCGTAACCCTCCAGCTATTCAAAAACAGCAATGACACTCAAGATGAGAAGCTTAGCCTCATATTGAACTTTCACTCATAATTAAGTGAGTGTGAGTGAGCTTTTAGAATACGGGCGTAAGACAAGAGGAAGGCTCTTTTCTTTCCTCCTGCGAAAAATGCCGTTTTGCATGTTGTTCACAGTATTATTACAGGAACTGAATGCACATAGCAACAGAAGCGTCTCCGCCAGCAGACCATTAAATGCGGCAAAGCCAGACTTTGTCAGTCTCCGCTATAGTGTATAGGTATTGACCAATATTCGTATAATGTTAGGGAATTTAACATCAAAATAATTCAAAATGAATGAATATTTTCATTTGGACTAACTGGAATCCCAGCTGCAGAATGCATTAAATAATCGTCTTTATGGTCTCTTATCGGCAGATTCCTGAGCAGATTCAATTTTCCCGCATAATGTTTTGCATAATGAAGTCAACATATACTTAATTGAATAAACAAACTACAACAGTTCAAACGGACATTCATCCTGTAACTTTTGCTAAATCTGTGCTTCACATGCATAAAAATTTCCAGCAAATAATTCATAATCTATGTGTCCTTGATACCTATGGTGAGCGCGTGTGTATTCCTATCTTTGTGCGAGATTTTGATAAAACCGGCTGAACAGTTGGTAATGTAGTAATTCGAGCTGCACATTCCGACATGTTGTGTTTAAACACTTCAATGCAGTGGCGGAGTTTTTATAGCGTATAACTCTGATAGAGATGGTTTTCAACTGGTCAAGGTTGTCCCGAGTTTTGGCACAGGCATCCACCGAATAACATGACGACAGATACTGAAAGTTGCAATATGGGAGATTTTTGTTTATTTCGACCGAACTCCGAATTTCGAGACGTGCAATCGACCGAACAGCCGATGAAATTTATAATCAACGTTTCTGGGCTACGGTTTGAGACTTATAAACATACCGTTGAACAGTTGCCGGAGAGCGTGCTCGGTTCTGCGTCAAAACGAAATAGGTACTGGGACTCTGAGAACAACGAATTCTTCTTTGATCGTAACAGGACATGCTTCGAAGCAATCTTAACGTATTATCAAACCAAAGGTATCTTAATACGGCCAGCTACCGTACCTATGAATATTTTTGTCAATGAGTTGAAATTCTTTGAGCTTGGTCAAGAAGCGCTGTGGAAAGCCACTGAAGGGTACAATGGATTCGAAGAGCAATACGAGAAACCCAAAAATAAACTCCAGTGTAAGGTTTGGGAATTGTTTGAACACCCAGATACTTCGAGGGCTGCTAGGGGGATCGCGATATTGAGCATAAGTATTATATTATTATCTGTTGTCTTATTTTGCATCGAAACACTGCCTTCGTTTCAAGAAAACAACATGAAGCGGAATGGTACTGGCAAGGAAGAGCAGGACAAGGATCGGTACACCTCTGGGCCTTTTATTATTGAAGCACTCTGTATCAGCTGGTTCACCATTGAATATGTAGTTCGCCTTCTTAGTTCACCGAACAAATGGAAATTCGTGACATCTATTTTAAACGTGATTGATTTAATCGCAATTATCCCTTTCTACATAAGCATTGCGATGGCGAACTCGGAGACAGATGTTTCCTCGCTGGCTATATTGAGGGTAGTTCGGTTGGTCCGTGTATTCAGGATCTTTAAGTTGTCGCGATATTCAAGAGGGCTGCAGATTCTCGGTCACACGCTGAGAGCAAGTGTCAAAGAACTTGGCTTGTTATTGTTCTTCCTTTGTGTGGGTAAGTGACTTCAAATAATATGAGATTATTTATGGTTAATTATTATTCTTATTCAGTATTAGGGAAAGCGATCTTTAATGCACCTGTGGCCTGTCTGTCAGTTTCGAAATTATGAAAAGTTGAGAAAAACTGACGTCTGTTATTCTGTCTGTTTAGAAATTGCGAGTGCACGTTGTTAAACAATTGTTAATCCTGCTATCCCAAAAAATCTAATTTGTTGGGTAAAATTTAACTATTTTAGCAGAAATAATTACATATATATCATGTAATATGTCGGTTTTGTATGAAAATAATCCGATTTCGTCACTGATATTGAATGCATGTCCGCCATAATCTATTAATGGATTATATGGACATCATTGATATCTTTTAACCAATCACATGTCTTTCAGAAACGTCACCGGCGAACCAATTACAGTTACCGTGTGAACTATACAGACTTTTTTACATAAATAGACAAAAATAACATGCTTGGCTGAGCAGTTGAGAACTATATACACATAACTATATTGTTTGAAATTCTTATCTTGTTAATATCAAAAGTATGGCATTAAAGACACGTGTCACTTAGTATTTTTGGTTTGCCAACTTGCCATAGAGTATTTTTAATTGCACACAAACAATATACACTAGCTATCATAAATAATGATATCAGTTTAGCTATATAGTAGTTGTAAAGCGTGGGTCAAAAGAATGAGCAATTCCAGCTTTTGACTAAATTTTTATCTGGGCGAGAAGAACAAAATCCATTACCACAGCTAGAAAGAGCATGTTAAAATTAGTAAAATTGCAAAGTTTGGTTGCGAAATGTTGTAAAATGAGGAAAATATAGCCCTACGAATTTGCAAATTGTGTATTAATTTGTATTACGCTCGGGGAAATGCACCACATTTGGGCCGAAAGTGGTGCATTTTCCCGCAACCAAACTTTGCAATTTTACTAATTTTAACATGCTCTTTCTAGCTGTGGTGATGGATTTTGTTCTTCTTGCCTAGATCAAAATTTAGTCAAAAGCTGGAATTGCCCGACTAAATCCAATTCCAATTCAGTTATTTACTTATTTACCACACTGTCTTTCATTTTAGGTATAATATTATTCTCCAGTGCAATCTATTACGCTGAACTTGGTTCGAATGAGAAATTTGTCAGTATCCCAGACTCCTTTTGGTGGTCTATCATCACCATGACAACGGTCGGGTATGGCGACTACGTACCTGTAACTGGAGGTAAGATGAAGCATAGGCTGTATGGCATGTTATAGCGTGTAGATGTTGTATTTTTAGTTTTTAGCTTGGTACTGTCTAGGATTAACCTCCATACCTTATTTTAACTATAAGAATGAAGCTAGTCCTAGGCCCTAGGGCTTTTTTGTGGATGGGATTTTCGAGCCGAAGATTATATACAATTTTAGACCTATAACCAGGAGCGTGCAGCTGCGAAAAATGCAACTATATATACGACCGTTTTGGCTTTTTAAAACCGGGGCCGTTTTGGCTCTCCCCGGGACCAAAACAGAACATCAGGGGCCAAAACAGAACACTAGGGCCGTTTTGGCCCCTATTAATTTCTTATAGCTGTTTTGGCCATGTACAGGGCCAAATTGGAATGTTAATCTAAAATAAGAATTATGTCACTTTGCCATAAGTATACCGTTTTGGCTCTAACTGGGGCCAAAACGGCTCACAAGCGCTATTTTGGCACCTGAGTGATGCCATTATAAGGTAATGGTAAATATCGAGCTGTTTTGGGCACTGTATTGTATATAAATACAAAAATTGTATACATACAATCTTCCAATAGAAAATTCTATCTACAAAAAAGTCTTCAACTGTTAGTTCTATCGAGCAAGAATATATTTACCCTTACTTATTAATTAAAGAACTTTTTCTGATTTTCAGTTGGTAAACTAGTTGGATGTTTCTGTGCTATAACTGGGGTGTTATTTATAGCCTTACCTGTTCCGGTGATTGTCTCGAATTTCGCTTACTACTATTCGAAAGAACGAAACCGACAGATGACTCGAGAAATGAACCCGGAGGAAGGCTCCTCTACGAGTGCCGATAATATCCGATCGCTCATATGCTGCCCTACTGTGAACGAACGAAATACCTGCACTGGAAGAAAAGTCAAGAACGGAAAAATAATTCGCGAAAAAAGAGTGGATAGTTCTACAGAGGAAGGCGGTCCTTCTGAAGTAATGTTGCAGAATAACAATGGAAATCCTAGAATGGGACCTGTAAATGTCATTGAAAGCAACGTATAGATTTTATTCATTGTAATGTATATAACGGAAGGTACATCTATTATAGTAGTATGACATATTGGTGTTTTTGCAGGGAATTTTTGAATATTTTTAATATTCAGTGACAGGCTTTTCGAAGCTCATTTCAATTTTTTGGCGTTAGATTGATGGCAAAGAATTTTGTGAACATGATTTTGCCAAGTACAATATAATTTTAAAATTCGATGGATGATCGAAGTTTCCCCCGGAAGAATAACTTAACAAATACAAGGTTCTAAGGAATCCGTTCGACAGACATGTTATTTTTAAGAATACGATGAGTAACCCACGAAAGTACTTAAATACAATCGTGTTCAGGATCCGAGGCATAAGGAATCGGCAGGAGAGAAGCACGGATGAAGATTGGATTAAACATCATTGGATTAAACATCATTGGATTAAATCATAAAAACAAGCTTGCAGCTACCTGAAAAGTCTGAAAAATATCATGTAAGGAGTATTTCGATGTTTCGAGCGAAGGCCCTTCGTCTGGACTAGTGGAAGGCGAAGCGACGAAGGGCTCGAAATTCTCCGCATCCCTACCAAAGAAAGCTTGTTATTACAGTATTTGTGCTACCTACACTGGCACAGACTGACAGACAGTTCATCATTGTAAACAGTACAGAATGGAAGATGGAAGTTTGTTCTTAAACCACTTCCCCTTGTTACGATAAATAAGAAAATATTGTTTATTATTTATGTATAAATAATTCTAGTTTCTGAAAAGTTGAGAAAAACTCTGATTTCTGATACTAGATTCCCCTTATTACGTTTTTCGTAGCGCTTTGCATTGTGGTTATAGTGGTATCACTGATATTCAAGATGGCTTATTTTTTGTCCTTACCCGTGCAAGAACTTTTAAAAAAAGCTGGGGTCAGATACGCGATAGCCAACAGCAAAATATTCGCGAAAACATTCAATATTTTCATTCGAGGCCGCTATCTTTATCAGTGATACCACTATAACCACAATGCAAAGCGTTACGAAAACGTAATAAGGAGAATCATCAATTGCCAAAATAGACAAATTAATAGATAGAAGGAAAATAGTATTATGGTTATCTTAATATATTTCAATTACAACTTTTTTTATTTACTAAAGTGATGTTTATTAAAACATATAATTTAGTACATAAACTGGCGATTTAACGACGCAGAGTTATTGCATTTAAAATTAATCTATCTTGACCGCAATTTTATCACCCGGATTGTTTACACTATAAAGCCTGCACTTCCATTATGATTTATGAAGCCTAAGTAGTAAGCTAGCAGTACTTGATCAAAATGTGACCAAAATATATATCACAGCCAAGTAGGTATTCAATCGCGCAGTCCGTGAAGGCATTGTTTCTATTTTCCGCTGTCGAAAACATTTCTCCAAGTCAAAAGCTCCACGAAGAGTTATAAGCGGGAAAACAAATCCCAGGGAGCCTTTGATTAGCATTACACTGAAAATTATATACGGTGTGAAGAGCAGAAATACATAGAATACATAAGATCCTCGGTGGCCTAAAACCGTAGCAGTTGTGACGGTACCATGTCCTTTATCTCGCTCCATAACTCTGACGTTCTCACTATGGAAGATAGCTTCGGCGTTGAGCGCTAGTGGCATAGCATAGAGGACAGGTTTTAGGTCAAATTGTCCACACTGAGCGACATAAGAGAACAGAACAGCTATAGGTGCAAACATAACGATGATAAGCAAATCGCCCAGTGCACTATGGGGTTTTGCACTCCAACCACCTAAGAGAATAAAATCATTCAATGAATTTATAAAACCAGTAGCTATTACACTCGCGATTTTTGGGATACTAATTACTACCAGTCCAATGCTCTACCAACTGAGCTACGAGTTTTATAACATCATATTCACCTGAGTACACAAAACCAACACACACAAATTAGCTCTGTTGTAAAACATGAAACCGTTCCAAGGCGTACCACCTCTCGAGCGAGGTGGTCTACCTTTAAATCGATCTCGAAACTGTCTCAGCTCGTTTTTGGTTGTTTCCACATTTTGCCCGATACGCCTCTGAATCAATTTCAGATCCACTTCAGGTAATATTATAGTTATGTCTAAATATGGGATGTTTAAGAACAATAGCGATTGACACACACCAGGGGGAATGCGCAATTTAAAGAAGTTAGATACTGAATTCGAGCGAAGGCTTTCATATGGGGGTTAATCTCATGACAATGCTCCTTTATTTCGAAGTGTATTATTTCAGGAATTAATTCAGACACAAACTACGATGGGTTAAAACAATAGGTTTGACTACCTGTATACAGAAAGGAGGCGGACAATCCACCAAAGAACAGTAAGGCAAGATGTTCCATTTTCGCAGGTGAAATGCACGTCACCACAAACATTGCTACACAAGCCAAAACGTACAACACGGCTCCGATTTGTACCATGGCTTTAGATCTTTCTTTGTCTGCCTTCCCGGATCTTTCCTGATCTGTTTTTCCATGTCCATCTCGATAAGCGTGGACGGCATTGCTAGCAGCATGAACAGATAACACGACGATAGTTGAGAATAGAAAGATGGGCAAACTGAATTGCGATTTTTCGCGCCAGGACAAGACATTACCCAAAGCGACTGGGGCCAGTGAGACGGAAAAGGACCAAGGTTGTAGCGCTATAAGATAGCTAGTAAAGACAGTCTTCACATTTCGTTGGAATGAACCATCGGAGTTTGCATTGCGATATAAAAATCGAAACATCTTGCGCGCTTCAGGAATCACGTCTATAATCACCACGTCACGATGAGCATATAGGCCATCTGAACTGTTGCGAATTTCTTATACTTTTGTACTTGGCCTTGCTTGGCCTTCTAAAAACGTCACTGCAATTGTCTGTTTTCTTACTCTTCACGTGTGAACCACGCAGACACCTTGAATGATTGAGTTTAGCAAAATGTCTGTTGTTTCCAGCAATGTTCCGCACAGAATCGTCAAGTGTGAAAAGTCTATGACTTCTCCCAGAAAAAACTCTTCTGTCCAAAACGACAGGAATATTTGCAATCAATCTTTATTTTTTTTCCCTTTAGTCTGTTGGTCAAATTACAATAATCTGTAGAAGGGTTGCAATGTGGACCCTTGTGGACGGGAGGTTTGTGCCTGGTACAAAAAGTTCGTTTTGACCGAATTATCACATTTCTTCCCATGGCATGAAGACATCATTCGGAGTGGTAGTTCTCCACTGACATAAAAAGTTAAAAACGACATGTCACTGATATCGTCTTTTGTCACTGATATCTTTTTTGTCCAATTGTCCCGCTAAATTGATAATTGTCGCATTGGGCCAATGATTAATATTTCTAATTAATTCTGACCCTAGCCTGATAAAGGCACAAGTATGTGATAAACAGGTTATGGCAATTAATCGGGGCGAGGGGCGACATGGCAGTTTTATCGCTTCAATGACGATATCATCAATGCATGTTCCTCGTTCGTGGACTTTTATGATATCTTCCCTCAAGCGATAAAACTGATATCGCCTCGCCTCTCATATGATAACTCAACTTATACATATAGTTGAGGAATTGTCAATCATTAATGCATGCGTCACAGGCTAAGTAAATTAAGCAATTGTAAACTTGAAGATTTTTTGCACTACACTTGGTAGCTGGATTTGGTGGATAATCCAAGTAAAACCACAACAGTCTGTTTCATCCGTATAGGAATCATCAGGTGGTCCCTTACGGATGAAACAGACTGTTGTGATCTTTTGAGGTAAAACGAAAAACTATATTACGCTCTAAATAGCTGTATATATATATATATATATATATATATACATATATATATATATATATATATATATATATATATATATATATATATATATATATATATATATATATATATATATATATATATATATATATACTATATTGATGCTTGTGCTGTTACTCTGAGTGTATATCCACACCGGGAGAGCTTGAAAAATATGCCTGGCCCGATCACCTGAGTACACAACACCAGCACAGAAAAAAAACAACTTAACCTTATCTACGCTATTACAATCCAGTTACAACGGTTAGGTCAGTGGAACGCGATATGGGGACTGGTGACAATGGATTACGCAATATTTCACAAGAGGAAAAGTCAAAAAGTCTGGGAAATTTTAAAGATTTTCCACGTGTATTAATATCAATTTGTAACATTTAAAATAGAGCTGTTTATTGTAATGTTTAATGTTTACAATGTTCTTGTACGGGAAGACGAAGAAAAAGAGAAGTATAATATCGGAAATTTGATTCAGTTTGACAAGAAAGTCGTCAAGAATGGCGTAAGAGTTGAGCCATTTAAATTTTGGTTTGGTGAGCAAAATCAATTTGCTGTTTATATTAATAATATTGTATTCTTTAAAATTACTTGTTGATTATTAAATAGCCTTTATAAAACTAGACGTTACTGTCGCAAAGAAAGTGCTGCCTCACTCCAGGAATCAAAGGCATGGACGAAATTAACCGCATGCGAATTTTCACATGACAGCTCTTTGTTTTTATTGTAGACTGTGCAAGTTCGGTAGTATGGAAACCACAGTTGAGGGCTCCCGTGTTATCCGAAGGTACGATATCTCCCAACCTCGAGGGAGTGATCACACCCAATGAAAGAAACACCAATCTTGATCAGAAAATAAGAAATCAATCATCAAGCATTTTAGAAAAGACTGAGAAAGATATACCAAGCATATCACCACTTTTGAAAAAGTATCTGAAGAAAGATACCCTTAATTATTATGATGCAAAACCTTCATCAACCAAAGTTAAGGTACAAACTTATTTTTACCCACTTATTTTTTTACTTGTCTAACACCAGGCGATTTTACTCGTCAATGGGGAAGTTTCTGCGGCTTAATGGGTTAACCAAAAAATCTGACAATGTTTCTAGTGAACCTATTGAGCTGCAATGCACCCCAGTGCGCCCTACTTATTTTTTTTACTTGTCTAACGCCAGACGATTATTTCATGTTAATGGGTTAACATGAAATAATATTTTAGATAATTTTGTTCCAATGTTTCCAACATTGAGCGGCATTATTATATTTGAATCCAATTCTATATTTCTCTTCTTTATGTGAAAAGTTAATTTTAACCTGCTTTTTAACTTTTTTTAGTGGCACTCGTCATGTACCAATGCAAGGAAGATGTTGAGAAAGGGTACTAACCCTAACCTTAGTGAAAAAGAACCACGTATGGTTAAAAAGTTGAAAGAAAGGGCAAGTTGCTTTGTTAATTCAAACTGTCGTGGGAAGTGGGTTATCCTTGAATCGTCCCTGATAAATGGTGAGCTCTTTTCGGTAATATGATACATTTTAAGTTTAACCCATTAAGCTGCAGGTTTCCCCATTGACAAGTAAAATCGTCTGGCGTTAGACAAGTAAAAAAAAAACTAGAGCACACTGGGGCGCATTGCGGCTGAATGGGTTAACTAGAGAAATTGTCAGATTTTTTGGTTAACCCATTAAGCTGCAGAGCTTCCCCATTGACGAGTAAAATCGTCTGGTGTTATATAGACAAGTAAAAAAAAAGTAGGGCGCACTGGGACGCATTGCAGCTCAATGGGTTAAAGATGGACAGAAACCTTAACAGATTTTACAATCCAATTCTTATAGGCCTTTGAGGGTTAAATTAATGCCTAAGAGTTGTGTTAGTTTCATAGACAGATTTGAAGACACACCGATTGCATCAACTGACCAACTGATTTCTATTTTCAATCTTGAATTTAATCCAGGTTGTAATTTGGAAGATCTTTGGACAAAACTTTCAGATAAATTGCGTCAAGGTTTATTTCAAAATTGCAACATAACATTTCAGGTAAATATCTGCATTTGACAACTGATGCATTGAGCAAAATTGTCTGGCATTAGACAGAGTAAAATAATAAATGCAATCCCAATGTGCTCTACTTTATTATTTCACTCTGTCTAACTCCAGATGATTTTACTTGTCAAGGGCAGAGTGCTGCCACTCAATGGGTTAATGGGTTACTTTTTCTTTGTCTAGACTGATCCTGATCGTATTTTGATCTACACAAACTTTCTTTCTAGCACATTGGTAAGAATTTGGTATAGTAGCTAACAGTCTTGTGACATGATTGCATACACTTTACATAATATGTGATTGTCTCCATTTTTCATCACTTTTGAAAAGACTAAATTTTTTACGTGAATGCATTTTGTGAAAGGGTACATAGGTGGCCCTCTTTTTTACTGGGAGCTTTGAAGTTTCTGTCACCGGCAATGTGCCATATAGCCCCCATTGTACCCTCAACATCCCTAAAACATCCCTTAATTTATTCTATGTTAGGTTCCAAAAGTATTTACTTCAATTAGAGAAATGGTCGGCAAAATGAGCTATGTTGTTTATCCGTATGGCCAAGTTTTGTGTTGGAATGGTGGCGATGTTATAATCATGTAAATATTGTTGGTATTCGTTTGTTATTCTGTTTGGTTTCAGTTCTGTTTTCTTGGTGTTATTCATCTGTGGTACATAGGTAAGTCTACATAATAAGTGTTCTGTTTAAATTGAAGTTTTACATCATACAGTACATGAGAGTATAAGCAATGTTTTTAAGCTGCAACGCTTTTATTCTCAAGTGCAGCAGCGAGTTATATATCAAGTAATACAACACTCGAAATATATCTTGCCAAAGCAATGACTATATTTACTGCATGGTACTATATTTGGTATCTCTACTAGATAGTACTAGCGAATTGCCAGTGATATTGCCATAATATTCCCATTCTTCTTAAATTATAAATGTTAATAATAGAATCATAAATTCTCCTGATTTCAGTATATCCTTTTTCCTCGATTTTCTCAGTTAAGATCACTTCTTTTTTGAAATTTTTTAAGATCACAACTGTTCAAATCTTTTCGTTACGACGTAAGCTTTCGATCGTTGTGTTTTAAAAAATTAATATCTGAGACATCTGACACCTACACTCTACAGAATGCTGACTTTTCGTTTATAAAAAGCATATCAATGCCACTGCCCACTGGACAATTTTAATAAATATAGTATTATAGAAAGCGGACACAAATTCCAAGGAAACTGGTTTTGTATACATGCGGGCTGTTCGTCATAGTGAAGCATACCACACAGGGTATGGCTGGATCCCTCAGTGTTACTGTATTCTAACTCCATGAGAATTGACCAATTTATTTATGTTTGCTAAAATTAGAAATAGCCTACTGACAGTACTGTACTTCTTTTACATCTTGTAAACTTAACATCAGAATTGCCGAAACTGACAAGACAAGTTCAATATTTCATTCTCTATTTGGGCAAAAAAGAATTGTTAAAAACATCACCGAATAGCGCAAAGCGCCCGCAAAGATTTTCCTCTTTTTGCTGAAATTCGGTTTAATTAATAATTTGTCTGTCTTTAAATCATGCATATTCCTGTTCATCAATGCTTTAAACTAGAATGTTGTAAGTGTTTTATGCCTACATTTGTGTATTTTCGCATTTTTCGCAGCTCCTCCAGCTGGTCTCGAGATTTTCTTCTACAAAAGTCAAAACTGTATTACTATTATTACATATATATACATATACTATACATTGCGTGCATGATGGTGCATCAGAGTCTCAGACCAACCGCAATTGTTTGGCAACACGTGGGGAGTCCCATTAGACAATATTTTTTCTCACGCACAAAAATATCACATCGGTTTATTGCTTCCATATGAAGCCATCATGTGTGACTACAAATATTTTTGTCTACAATTATGTGTGTGTCTAGAATTGTGTCTGATTACTGATTAGATTTTGATTACATTTATCATTGTTTATCATGAAATACTCGTGGTTGATCTATAATATACCAAAGGCAAAGTTCACAGTTTCCTTTCAATCTTACAGAACTATTGCAGTTTTCTTTTTCAAATTTTTTTTTTGGAAACGTTCCAGACAGTCATTAGCTTTATAACCTTTAATATATCACTCAACAAATCAAGCTAAAGTAAGTGCTTGTTACTGCCTATAGTGAGGACATGTTATAGTATAATAGACCACTGAGGTTGCTATATAAAACTTAGTAAAATTTCAGTGCAGCTATAGCACGATCACTCGTCAAAATATACAGTTATAATATGAGATATTACCTCCTAGGTCACAACATATAGAGATTATATAGTTATAGGGATTATTTTAGTAAAATTAGTTGAAATGAAAACAAAACTTTAGTATATACAGGTGTACATGTAGATACGAATTATTACGATTAGTTAAAATTTGCTTGTCAAAGCATACAAGCCGATCAGGAACGTGAAGCCGATCAGTTCTGTTGCGTGCGCAAAATCATAACAAAGTGAGAGAAAGATTTCAACCACATAAGTGGAACCGGAATGGATGTGTATCATATAACGTAATTATATTTACACTGACTGTATGACCATTTTAATTAAGAAGCATCTAGAAAACCGTCTTTAGTCTTTAATTAAAGATTATGTAATATGCGCTAAATGACATTTACACACAATACAGTACAGTAAATACTAAAACTGTCTGTACCAGTGTAGGTAGTACCAATGTGAAAATGCTGTGCTGAGTGGTTATATTACTACCTGAAATAAACAAGCAGAAACTCGACGTTTCGAGCGAAGGCCCTTAATTCGTACACCAGGCTGACGCGACGCAATATCATCATGGCTTTGCGGGAAAGAGAGCTGACAATTATATAAATTATGTTATTTGCCAGATTTTCAGAATGATAACTACATTAAAGCACACTTTTCATGACAGCAACTTCTCAGATGTCTATGTAAATGTTCTTCCCACTGCTTGTCATATTTATCTAGCAAGTAGGCGAAAAAATCTATTGGTAATCCGATATTTTCACCGATATCCTGTCGAGCCAAGCAGTGTTTCCTGCGTTCCTCTCGCGCTAGGAAATGGCTGTCACAGTGGTGATGATAAATGCATGTATAGGGCTTGTTTCTCTGATTAGTTTTTGATGATTGCTTGTCGTAATTTATCCTTTTGTGCGAGAGTGCAAGAGGTGGAGATAAATTATTCCGGGGGGAGGGGGACGTATCAGAAAAATATAGTAGTACATGGTGAATTACGTACATATTCATATAGAGGGGCATTTATTCTTAATTCAGGACAAAATTACTTGTACCAGATTGGCTGAGACGCAAGCACGGGAACTTTGTTTTGAATAGCAATAAAAACAATGGCTTCTCGCTTTGTCGTTGCGGATATTCTGGTGAAAACTTGCATGAACACTAGAAAAAGTACAAATTTATTGGTTGGAGTATTTAAAACATGGGCAGCATACGACGTTCAAGAACTTGACAAGTTCCAATTAACTTGGAAATTGTTCATTTTACATGCCTTTTTTTGATTAATTACCTTATAATATTTATTATCGTTGCATATATATATATAATTAAGGGTTTATTTATGCAAGGATTATAAATTTGTAATCCTTGCATACAGCTAAGATTGCAGCTGTAATGTCGAAATGTGATTAATTTCACGGCAAATCGCGAAACACGTGCTCTTACGTTTGTTAATTGTTTATTATCTTTTTCAATCTTTCATCAGTATGCTCATTTTACTCACGTCAATCGTGACCGTACTTGAACTGTGTATGCCTTTGAACTGTGTATGACTTTTCTCAATTTCAAGCCAGGGAGGTCTTTTTGTATTAATCCGGTTTGAGTCAATTGTTGCGTTTTTGCTAACGAACAGGTTGCTTTCACCATGCTCATGATGCTCTATCTAGTTCGGTGTACATATCCATATATGTACAGGGCTTCGCCTTCGGTGGTTAGCGCACTTGCCTTTCACCTCCAAGGCCGCAGGGTCCCGCAGGTTCAAATCTCGAACTTCGCAATGCAACCCGAAACCCACGAGTCTTCGTCCGAAAAGAGTATTAAGTCAACGCTCTGCCGAAAGACGTGGGTTTTCTCTGGGTACTCCGGTTTCCTCCCACAGGAAAAGTTGACAGGGTGGATTAGGTAAAAGGGCTCACAGTAATTGGCATATGCTGTTGTGGTGACCCTGCTCTAGTTCATGGCAAAGCTAAACGA